AAGGGGTGTTGTCCTGGTGCCCGCGGGCCCTGGCCCCACGCAGCCCCACGGGACCCCAGGTGGCGGCCAGTTCTGTTGCCCACACACCCTCCCTCCACTGTCTGGCCGATACGTGAGCCGTTCCCACCAGCTGCTGTCAAAAGTGCACTTTTGAGCTTCACAATGGCCGTTGTGTCCTGTGATGTATCATTGTCGGTAACACAGCCTTTTGGGAGTTTTTTCAAGTCGTTATTAGAAGCACTCATTCTTTTAAAACGTGGTCTGCTTCATGACATTGAACAACGAACATGCTTGTTCTTTATTCCAGAGTCTTCTCCAACAAGTGAGTGTTTTTAGAACGGTATTTGCATCGAAACACAAAAGAGGTTGGACACAAACGTCAAGGAAGTTCTTCAACCTGCAGCCGAGGCCGCCCGGCCGCCCTGGACGTCCCTCCCCAACCTGCAGGCACTCCAAGGGCGACGCTGGCCTAACCGCCGGGTCTTGGGGGCGGCGAGAGAAGCACATACACTATCATCACAAGAACATGTTGCTTTGTTTTTATGCACAAATAACACAAATAACACACAGTGTGGCTCAGAGATGTGCGCTGCGTCCCACACCAGTGAGGCCGAGGGCGGCGATAACGGAAAGGCCGGGGCCCAGGGCCTCGCCTGCAGGGACAGTCAGGATTTTAGCAGCGTTTTGGTGCAGTTTCACGTATAGAATTACTTCATCACTGACCAAACATATAACCTCGCCAAGAACTATCATTTAACATCGTATAAGCTTATACACTTTCTTAAAAAAAATTTTTTTTTTTATTGATGTCAAAGTGGAAGGGAGAGGGAGAGAGAGAGGGGAAACATCAACGATGAGAGAGAATCATGGGTCAGCTGCCTCCTGCACACCCCCTACCGGGGATCAAGCCCGTAATCGGGGCGGGCATGTGCTCTGAATGGGAATCGAACCCTGACCTCCTGGTTCATAGGTCGGTGCTCAACTGAGCCCCCCCCCCCCCCCCCCGGCTGGGCTGGCTTTCCTTTATTTAAAATTATCGGCTACACTGTTCCACTTCCCGTCCGCTCACGGCTGCGCTCTGCATTGCAGGTCCAGGCTCCGCTCGGGACACAGGGACGCCCACTGAGCCCAAGTAACCGAGCCCAGGATGTGGGAGGATCACGTTCCGACTCCGACGGCTAGATATGAGCCGACCGTGTCACGCCATGTTTATAAGGCTCCTGCTCTACGTTACCAATATAGATTCTCATGAAATAATTGTGTTAAAACAGATTTGACGTCACTGTGGTGCAGGCGGCGCGAGGGGGGGGGTTTGCTCCGTGCATTTCTCTGGGGTGCTAAGGAGGGGCCTTTGGGGCGCCATGCCTCCCCCACCCGGGAAGGCCCAGCGTCTGGGACCCACTTCCTCCCCATCACCAGCTGGCATCACCCGGACGTGGGTCCCTCTGGTGGTGACATTTTCATTGAAGGCTGTTGTTCAGACTTTAGCTAGAAGAAACTCACAGACTCTCCCTTGATGGGGCCCTGTAATCGCTGCAGAAGTCATTTTTTCTGTTAAAAAATTAATTCCAGAATATTGGGATGTGCTTTATATTGAGAAAAGGATTAATTTATTAGACCTCAAAGTTTTAAACATTTAATGTAGAAGCACTGGAGCATTTGCAAGTTTTAAATGTTTGCTAAGTTTTCAATAAACTGGGATCTATACGATTAAACATATATTTTGTCCTTCAAGTAAAAATGTCTTTAATTTCAGTATTTAACTTAGTAGTCTTCGCAAAAATTCTTTAGTAGACTGGCTTCTCTTGTTTTATCAATGTTGTTACTGTTTGTATGCAATGAGCAGTTTTTACATTTTGTACATTTCACTCACTAGTAAAATAATCGTTTTCTAATGAAAGATTGCCAAAGACAAATAAGGTCACAAATATTTTAGCTTTGTTCCTGGAGTAATGCGTCATGCCCCAGCTCACCTGATGAGAAGTTTCGAATTAGTTTTTTCAATGCGATATTGAGTGAGCTCATGTGTCTATATTGTCTGATCAAACCGACGTCACTGGGGAATGTATGCGATTGAATAGGAAGAATGTAGCATTTTAATAGACTTATTTTCCCTCTTTTCTTCCTCTCCTCCTCCTTCCTCTCCCTCAGTTCCAACCTCATTCTCAAACATCCCCACCCTAAGGAAAATACTGGGGAACAGATATCAGTAACTTACAACTTTTTTTTTTTTTTAATAATAGTCAACCTCAAACCCATATGGTGGGGACATAAAGTTCACATAGGTGCTTTTTTGAAAAAATGTTTATATTGATTTTTTTATTTTTTAGAGACAGGAGGGGAGAGGGAGAGAGACAGAAACTTCAATGATGAGAGCATCATTGATGCGCTGCCTCCTGCACGCCCCCTACTGGGGATCGGAGTCCGCGCCGGGCCGTGTCCTGACCCGAATCGAACCCGGAGCCCTCAGTCCGATGCTCTCTCAACGGGGCCAAACCGGCCAGGGCGCAAGGACCAAGTTCTCACTTGACAAGCCAGTCTTCCGCGTTAGACTTCCCGGCTCCTGGAGATGAAAGTTCCTCCCCCCGAGCAGCAGGCAGGGCGCCCCCGCCCCGCGCG